CCTCTACTCTGAACTCATCACGTCACGTCTTCTCTTCCACACGGGTGACTCCGTCGGCTCCAGGCTGACGGTCAGAGACACGTGCTGCGTGTTGTGATGACGTGTGATGTAGGTGAACGGCGCCCCCTCCTGTCTGGAATAGAACCAATCCTCTTATATGATTAGAGTGTTGGGGGGGGGGGGTGGCATTATACTCTGTAGGATGAGGTGTTATAGTAGTAATAATGGTTATACAGTACTGCAGTACAGGTCAGTACTACAGTACACACTACTGTGTTTCACGTATTCACTCAGCTGTGAAATACTAAAGTGCCCCAGAAATATTTGCAGTAAAATTGCACAGGTCCAGGGTGTGAGTACCAGGTGTGTGAGTACCAGTGGTGTGAGTACCGGTGGTGTGACCCACCTGCAGGTCCCGCCCTGACTCCACCCTGACTCCACCCTGTAACCAAACCTCACTCGGTTCCAGCTTCTGTGTCACTGTTGACAAAGGAACGGCACAAACAGAAACCTGAACTGGAACTGTTGTGTTCCTGTGTCTCGGTACTCTTTAACCCTTCGGTACCAACGCCGTCGTGTTGTCGCGGTTCTGAACGCTCTGTGGAATGTGATGAAAGGTTAAAGGTCATGGGTTAGGGTCTGGAGGAACAGAGCCCTGGTCTGTCAGAACTTTTCTTCCTCCTCTACGGCGACCCCTGGAGAATGTGCGTGGTGCTGCTCCGTGTCAAAGTGTCGCGGCCTGGCCTTTCCAAGAGGCCACGCCCCCTAGTGGCTGAGTGACTGGTTTTGTCCGTTCCTGTGTTTGAACCACTGTGGACCCTGTGGGGGCGGGGCTCCAGAGGTTGACCACCCGGGCCAGAACAGTAGAACCCTGTTTTATTGAAGTACAATCCCTCCAAGTATTTCCTTCTCCTCCAGTTGTGATTACTCAGCTGTACTTCAGTACTTCAGTACTGAAGTACTTCATCAGTTGGTAGAAAAACAACATCTGGTTTGTTCTGATTTATTGTCAGGGTCATGTGACCTGCTGGTAGGACTGGAGTGGTACTACTGTAGTAGTACTGCTGGAGTGGTACTACTGTAGTACTACTACTGCAGTATTATTTAAAAAGGTTCATTTCCAGACTCTGTGTGTGTGTGTGTGTGTGTGTGTGTGTGTGTCAATCTGACAAAACAATGGAGTCTTTGTTGGATGGACTGCTGTGACAGAATTGTCGAGGGGGTCATGGTGGGGGGTGAGAGGGTGAGGG